GAGCCCTATACAACCCTATAAACCCTATGAAGCCCTATGCGCCATCAGATTTGCTAGATAAGACCCTCTGCTCCTAAACAGCCCTGACCCTGACATACCCACATCCCACAACCCTAAACTCCAAACCCACAAGCCTTTTCCCTAAACCCCAAACCTTAAATCCTAAAGCCCTAACCCTTGGAAGGAGAAGGAGTTGGAGTTGTTGGAGTTGAAGGCCAAAGAGAAAGACTTGGAGGTGCAAAACAGCAAACTGACAGGCACTTACTGGTCAACATACGCTGACGTGCCACGAAAGGAGTTTCATTCGTTCCAGTGGCGCATGGGCGTTGCAAGCTTGCCTGCAATTCCACGGTCGGTTGCTTCCGAGCTCTATTCCGAAGAATTTGAAGATGCAGCCTCGCGGACGCCGAGTACCATCATTCCTTTCGCTATGAGAAAGGACGTCCTAGGCGGCAATGCCGCGCAAATAGCACATATTCTCCCGCACAGTCAAACTTGCGCACGTGTTTGGACAGCTGTGCTGCGCACTTTTTTCCAAGACAAGCCTTCGGGAGTGCCATTACAGAGATTGGTACATGGCATCAAGAGATTTCCAGCGTATTGCTTGCGGAATGTGGAGTGAGGGCACCCGATGTGTCAGGCTGCGCAGAACGGAAGCGCGATGCAGCAGCCGGATTTCTTAAGGACTCACCTTGTTTCCTGTTTGGGGCGCAGCCCAAAACTGACAAGATACCATCAAATCACAGGCCCTGGCAAATTATCAGGCCTGCATGAGTCGGGTGATGACCGGAAAAAGGAGAATGGAGAAGGGGAATTCTTCCAAGACCGAGGGAGCTTGAAGAGCTCCCGAGTGGCCCAGGTCGAAGCCAGATGAGGCGTTCCCAGAAGTAATTCAATCTGCAAGGTACTCGAGCATTTACACAGCACGAGTACGGGAACCCTGCTCTGGACTGTCGCATGCATGCTTAGTTACTTTGGGCCGCGCAGTCTGGTAAGCCTGCAGCAAACCCTGAAAGCTTCATTCATGCAGCATTGTTTTTTCGGCAAGTGAGGGATGGTTCTCCATGTAACTACGCGGATTGTAGTGTAGCTGCAGTCAGTTATGTCGTAAGTTCGTGCTTTCTTTGCTTGTACGTGCATATATACAAGTACATATATCTATATGTACATGTTTATACATATATATATATATATACAAGAGTATAATGTTGAAATACACCTAGACACACCTGTGTGTATATATATATGTATATGTAACCCCCCAAGGGACCAACCTCTCACATGAAAGATGGAAGATTACCCGGTTTCCAGATGGTTTCCAGCTTCATTTGCTAGCAACGATTTTTTAAATCTGTACTATCTCAGCGATCCTGCAATAACTAGTTCCAAAACCCAAATTCCCAAACCTACACACGCAAGTTTTGGAGTTCCGGCATTGCAAGAATTCCACAACCCGCGAAACCAAATTTGGAAGTTCTCATGTCTCCATGTTCCGAAATGTTGCAAAGCTCGACAAAGTACAATTCAAAGCAACACATCGGAGGAGATGTTGTGGAATGTTGGAGTTGCTTATGGCGCTGCTTATTTCCAAAAGTTTGTTCCGCAGGTTTCGGAGATTTTGGAAGTCCAGAACTTGTTTTCTTAGGTTTCGGAATTCATCGAACTGTCGGAATTTAAGAGTTCTCATGCAGTTCGCACAGTAGATGGCCATTCGCTGAATAACTGTTGAAGACTGGATGTTCATGACAAGACCATCCAGCACGTCATGCTTGTATATCCTAGTTGGTATGAGCATACTGTTCAGAGGTCTTTGTGCACAAAATTAAAATGCTAAAGCACTATATATATATATATATGATGTTTAGCGGAGTTATATAGAACAGATATATGCATTGCCTTGTCCTGAGCATCGAACCTATAGCTTTTCGCCTATTGTTCGGTGTTTGGCTATGCGTGCGTTTTTGTACAAGTTTGTGGTTAAGAAAATCGAACATTGGATTAGTATGTGCATAGCATATCATGTTTAGGATGTGAGCGCTTCACGCTTTGCAGATTAGTAATAACGTTTTTCACTGAAAGTGCGATATTGTTTGGGCTGTAACCATGCGTTCTGTTCTAAAAGAAAGGAGAGGCTTTCGATTCGCCTGGGAACTAATTATACTTACCGAAGGCATTTCCTCACTATGAACTTCTGGTCTATTTGGCAAGAAATGATAGTCATTAGTGAGCACAAGAAAATTCTGGAACGTTCAAGCTGTATGTTAGTGTTGACCAGTGTTGTGTTAACTTTTAGTTTGTGTTGAGCAGTATTTCAGGTGATTTCTGCTCATATGCCTAACTGATATTTTATAATGTTGCACTAGCATGTTAACAGTGCCGCACTACGAAGGTTGTATATCGCATTGTACATCCCATGGTTCGCAGTGCCCTCTGTCTCATGAATGACGTAACGATGGCTACTATCGAACCGTGAATTGCACATGGGACTCAAGTGCTTAATTTGTTCTTTACCTCATCTGTACTGCTGCAACGATAAGTTAGCGCAGTACAGGTTGAATACTAGATCCTGCATTCATGAATACGTTGCGCAGACTCATGCTGAGACGAAGCCTTATAACATATTTAGGAGTCCCATCCAAACTGAATACTACAAGCAGGCCTTGCTGCACGTGTCAAGTGAAGGGTTTCGGAGTCAAATCCAAAGAAACTACAGCACCACACGCTCTAACAGCGGCTATAGCACATGCATCGCAGTTACTGTCAGGATGTTGGATAGCAGTACCTGCTAACTTATACATATGTGCCTGACAGGAATACTCGATGAGCGGCATTTGAATCTAATATGAAGTGGAACATTGTCAATTAGTCCACGAATGCTAACCGACTCTCAACGGCGTCTGAACTTCTAGCTCAAGCGATAACACTTGTATGGTATCTACTACTCGAATAGTAGATAGCACGTACTGCCGTGGCAACTTCTGCACACGTGCGTCAAATGAATACTTGAGAAGTGCTGTCACCGAAATATATGTATACAACTTGCTATGTAATCTCGAAGCAGTACGCACCTAAGCCTGCATTGGACAACACTGCAGGCTGCGTGCTTGGTCCAGCGGGGACATACTCAAGCTGGTGTGAGCACAACAGTACATTGCAGGCTGCCTGTTGGGTACATACATACACAACACACACACACACAGACGCACGCAATTAATATATATATATATATATATACACATACATACATACATACATATATCCGTGTGTAGAGAGAGAGAGAGAGGGATGTCGGACATAAACATAGTACATATGCAGGTAGGTTCCTCCGGGTTCTAACAAATGTTTCTGCGGTTGATAATTGGAACCCAACGGTTCTATCGAAACGTCTCGCCTTTTCGTGGGCTTTGTGTGCTATACCTGGTAAGATAATCGATCAACTATAACGAACCGCAGCGAGACACCCTGCCGTCGGTGTTCATTCCCAAGACACTGAAAAGCATGGCTCTTGCTATTGCGCATGTTCAACACACTCCGTTTCAAAGGTAATCAAGGATGAGGAGAAGGAGTATGGCAAGTAGGAGCATAAGACTGAGGGAGAATGTCACGGTGACGGGACGGTTTTATTTGCATACTTTCTGCCCCGAGGGCCTCCTCTTTGCACATCAATGAACAGTTTCTCCGGAGCGAGGGACCCTTGGACAGCTGAACCCGGTCTTCACAGAAGGGTTTTTAGGCTTGCAGGGTTTGGGGCTTTGTACTAGCCTACTAAGTTTGCGGTTTTTGTGACTGCAGCTTTGTATTTAACGTAACCCACAACTTATTCCCAGCTTGGTGAGAACATCCTCGTCGGCTTGATGTCGGCAGCTCCCTTGGTTCCTGTAGGATTTGCACCAGCTCCTCACGATTTGAACCCGAGGTCATGTTGAGGTGACATTAGCCTCCAACAATTTCGAGGTTGACCTGCTACAAGTCTAAAGTCAAGGGACCCCCCGCTTGCGGCACACATTGTGAAACTGACATATCGGCTTGTTTTGCAGGTGCTCTAATGTTTCCACATTGGGGCAAATTATTCCTCGTCGACGGTTCAAACTCGCAGGCTAAAGTCACCTGCTTGGTATAGTAACGAAAGTTTCAACTCCTGAAACCCAATTCCGAAATCTCCTGCCTCCTCGGGCAAAACAAGCCGTTGATAACGATTGGCATCGCAGGGCAGCAGGATAGGAAGCTTCCCTGCACTGCTGTAGCCAAAGCCAGACCTTCGCAAAATACCAGGGATGCTTGCCGGATTCTCAAGTGAATAGCAAATCGAAATGCAATCAAGTAGCTAAACTCGTCGGCCATGGGGCCCTCCCTAAGAAACCCGAAACCCCGCATCAAGACCCGAAGGTTTTCACTTGAGAGACTCCGAGACTAGCACTATCACCCTGGAAGGCAGAAGTTGTGTATCAGGACGAAAGACAAGCAACGTGAGCGAGTATGAGCAAAAGAGCAATCCCATGGATGTGGAACATGTTCTCACGTGGTTTTGTCTGAGTGCCACAGAAGCTCCAGTGCCTTGTCCAACAAATTCTAGGATTCGGTCAACATGCCATGAGGCGACTACCACCTGCTACTAGTATTTCGGATTCTTACCGATGGAAGGGCCGTATGGGGCCAACTCGACAATGTGCTCGTGCCTGCGTCAGTCTGAGACTAAGCATAAACCTGGACCTAGGCCCCCTACCCAGGCCTGATAGCCCGAAGGGTGAACTTCGTCTCGTAGAATTCTGCCAGCCCCAAACCCATCGTCCGGAACCCTATTGCCGATGCAGAAGGCTTTTAAGACACAGACCTTCAAAATGACAATCCCAAATATGTAAGGTTTGTGGTTCAAGTTGAAAGATAAAGATCCGAATCTAGAACTTTTAGCCTTATAATAGCCTTAAAACCTTCCATAGGAGGCGGCATTCCAGAACACCATTTGCTTAAGCTACACGAGGGAGTCCTGACCTTGTTGGCAGGCCGTCGAGTTGCTTGGCCATCTCCAAGAGAGGCGATCTTTAGCCTTACACGAGCTACAGATCGGCACATTGAGGAGGGACGCATCGGGTTTTGATTTTAGTTCAGTATGGGCACCAGATTTACTAGGCAGCCATGTCCTACGTGGTAGATAGCACTGCTGTCTGCTCCGAATCAGGAGAAGCAGCTGAAATATTGCAGAACCAGCAGTAGCATTGCAGCACCAGCAGCGGTAGTAGTAGTAGTAGTAGTAGTAGTAGTAGTAGTAGTAGTAGTATTAGTAGTAGTCGCAGTCGTATTGCCCAGCGCAATCGCAACGGCAGCAGCAGCAGCAGCAGC